CTTTAAGGGATTGACTTGGAGAGAGAGTATCTACTGCAGTGGCAGTCCTTAAGATGGAGAAAACAAATAAATATACAAGAAAGAATGAAATCGCGTCCATTGATTATCTCATGTTGCACTTCTTTCTTCAAATATGAATCAATGCTTTGGAAAATTTAGGATATTACTGAGACCAACCAGAAATGATGAAACAGATGCTCTTAGAACATGGTAGGTCTACAGACAATTATCTATTAAATGCAGAAATTGTGATTTTTTTTTTCAACGAATGTGGGCTTATCATTAATTCTATTGCGTTGCTCAAATAACGATTGACAAAGGAAGCTGAAAACCATAATGTTCTGAACGAGTCTGGTTTAATATATTTCCAATTGAGGTGCTGTTGTTGTTGGATATAATTTTCAACAATAATGAATGTACGCCACAATCCACATTGAAAAAGTAAGAGGAAAAAGAGTAATTTAAATAGAGAGGAGTATAAGTTCATTTTTGGTGGATTGTAATAGGCATTGGATCATGAATGGAATTTTTGGGTCTTGGAGGTTTGAAATTAATTAAATTTAATATTTGATTATTTATATTGAAATTTGGCAAGGCAATTAAAAATTATTTGGCTAAATATTCAAATAAGTTCCTGAACTATACCAAAAAGGTTAATTATACTCCTATATTTTTATTGCATTCAAATAAACTCTTGAACTTTTATTTTGAGTCAAATAAGCACTTCTCATTAATTATTGATTAACGAAATGCAACTCTTAGAATGCTTCTCATTAACTATTGATTAACATAATGCTCCTAGAAAATGATAGGTCTACTGATAGCTCTTAGAAAATGGTAGATCTTCTGACAATTTTCTATTAAATGCAGAAATTGTGATATATTTTTTCAATGAATGTGGCCTTATCATTAATTCTCTTGCGTTCCTCAAATAACAATTGACAAAGAAAGCTGAAAACGAGCATCTTTTGAACGAATCTCGATCAAGATATTTCCAATTGAAGTGTTGTTGTTGTTGGATATTTTCAATAACAATGAATGTGGGACACAATCCCACACTAGAATAATAGAAGGAAAAAGAGATTTAAATAAGAGGAGTAAAAGTTCATTGTTGTTGGACTTTAATAGGCAATGGGTCATGGATGAGTTTTTTGGGTCAGAAGGTTTGAAGTTAGATAATTTTTAATTATTATATTAGCACTTGGTAGGGCAATTAAAAATTATTTGACTAAATACTCAAAAAAGTCCCTAAATTATACCAAAAAAGTAAATTAAACCCCTATCTTTTTATTATGCTCAATAAGCCCTTAAACTTTTATTTTGGGTCAAATAAGTTTTTTTTACTAACTATTAACTAACAAAAGTCAACAATATAATTGACAATTTTATACTAGGCCATATGTGATGTGGCATGTTGACATGTCATTTTATTTTATGTGTGCAAATTTATGTTAATTTTCATATTAAAGAGAAAAACCATCCTTTTCAAAGTGAAATTACTCCTTTCAAATTTGTAACACTCCTCTTCCTTATCTCTTGCCTAAGTAAATAATCCGTCAAAACTCTTCTTTTATTAGAAGAAAAAAAAAGAACATTAAAAACCATAATGATGAAGCATTCAGGCTTGTTTGACAATATCTTGCTAGCATTGTCTAGAGGCTAGAACTGTTTAGGCTTTCTATGGAACCTATGGTTCTAGGATTTTTGAGATTGGGTTTAGAGCAAATGGATTAAGGTTTTTGCTAGAATTGTCCAAGCTTTTGAGAGCAACTATACTTCCAGGATGGGGTTTGGAGCAAGAAAATCAGCCCTTAAAGAAAAGCCTTTCTCTTACGGATCAATCTATCCCCTCCATAGTTGATTATGGCATTGCTTCACAGTTGGAAACTTGGTGAGAATGAGAATTCAAAGCTTGATACTGAAGATTAGCATATCCCATATATTGAAGAAAAATATTCTTCTGAAATCAAAATTAAACTTCCTGTACTTATACAAAGCACTCTTTGTAATCCTTAATACATAGTTATAAGAATTAAATTTAACCCTCTTTTTTAAATTCATTAAGTTGACAAACAAATATAAATTGAAGATGAGTCTCCGAAGCCTTAAGTAGATATTCATTCTAAAAGTGTTATGATCATAAAGGACTTCTCGAACATCTTTTTCATTTAGATAATCTCTCAACCATAACTTTCGGGTTTTTTTTCAAACCCAATTGATTTTTTTTGGTTAAAAACCCTATGTTAAGAATAATCATGACTTAATTTGAAGTAATTAGGGTTTTTTTAAAACTTTTTTTCAAATCCCTAACATAATTATTTTTAGACATTTGGATTGGTAAAAAAGGAATATCCAATTCTTAATCAGCAAGTTTTAATGCCACATGGCATTGACATAATCAAAATGATACATCAACATGCCATGTAGCAGATAACGTGGCATAAAATTGCTTATTGTACAGTTGACTAACTTTCATTAGTCAACAATTAATGAAAGAGGCTTATTTGACTCAAAATAAAAGTTCATGGGGCTTATTTAGATGAAAATAAAAGGATAAAAGCCTAATTGACTTTTTTATATAGTTTAAGGGTTTATTCAGATATTTAATCAAACTATTTTTTTATTTTTTATCGACAGATAACTATAATCATTGGAAATAGACAAAACAATTATGTCTATGGTTTGAAAAATAATATCTGCTAGAAAACCAATAGATATAACTGTTAGAAATAGATAGAAATAGATTGTGTTTAAAACAGACACAATTGTATCTGTTAGAAAATTGTCTCGATTGGATATAAATAAGACCTTACTTTGAAGCAAAAAAGACAAGGAAACAATGATAGAATAATCTCTCCTTTCTTTTTAATTTTTTTCATATTTTCTCCTATATCATTTTACTATAGAGAATCATATAGAAGTGTAGATAATCTTGCCATACACCAGTGGATGCTCAATGGATTGACTTCATTGGTGTTGTAATACCCCAACCCAACTATAACTACATTAGTATATTTATAAAATCGTAAATTAGACAAAAAAGCCCCTTATTGAAATATCTTATAAAATATTTGAGTTTATATTAGAATAGTTTCTCTATTAGGGACTTTTTAGCGAATGGAGTCATTTTATTTTAGTTGGAGTTAGATTACATTATCATGTAAAAGAAACAGTTAGTTATATCTTATCGCATTTTAAAAAGGAAATCAATCAATTTTATCTAAGTCAGTTTTAAAAAGAAGCCAATAAGACACATTTAAATAAAAGAATTTTACATGTTTAAAGGAAAATAGGTAAGGTTGGTTTATTTTATCATATATGAGGAAATTCAGGTCAATTTTCATTAGCACGTTTAAAGAAAAGAAAAAAATATGGTCAAAAAAACAATGAAAAGAAAAAATGAACCATTTGGGAGAAACAAATCTTAGAGTAGAAGAAGAAGAAGAAGAAGAAGAAGAAAAAGGCAGAAAAATGGAAGATCTATTCAAAAAAAAGTGATTAAGTTATGATTCGGCTTTAACTTTAGTTTATGTTTCTTTAACTTCTGTTCAAATCCAATACTAATTCAACATTGTTCCATTGACTTTTCAGTGGCATGATGGGCACTAATGAAAAGATCTTTCTAATTGTTTTTGTAGTATCTTGTTTGGCTTTGTGGTTAGGAGGATATAAATTTTCACAGTTGACTGGAAATCCACTTTTACAATTAGGCTTTTGTTGGCCTTCTTTTTTAAAGATGCTCATAATTTAGTTGAAAGATATGATAGATGTCAAAGAGTAGACATTATAGCTAGAAGACATGAGATGCCTCTCAACAACATCTTGGAAGTTGAAATTTTTGATGTGTGAGAAATTGATTTTATGAGTCCATTCATTACATCCTTCAATAATGAATACATCTTGGTTGCTGTTGATTATGTCTCTAAATGGGTTGAAGCTATTGCACTACGAAGGAACGACTCTAAGGTAGTGATAAATTTCTTACAAAGGAACATCTTCATACGTTTTGGTACACCTAAAGCCATAATTAGTGATGAAGTATCTAACTTCTGCAACAAAAATTTTGAGGCACTTTTGGCCAAATATAGAGTCAAACACCAAATAGCCATTGTTTATCATCCTCAAACAAGTGGCCAAGTTGAAGCTTCAAATTGAGAAATTAAAAGAATTTTGGAGAAGAATGTTTGTCCTTCCAGAAAAGTTGGGCTTATGGAACGGCATACAAAACTCTAATTGGGATGTCTCCTTATAAATTAGTGTTTGGAAAAGCTTGTCATCTTCTAGTCGAGCTTGAACACAAGGCATATTGAGCAATTAAAAAACTTAATTTTGATCTTCAAGCAGCCGGAGAAAAGCATCTTTTGCAACTCAATGAGATGGATGAATTTCATCAATAAGCATATGAGAGTGCAAGGATCTACAAAGAAAAGACAAAACGATGGCATGATTGAAAAATCATAAGAAGGAGTTTTGAGCTTGGCCAACATGTTCTCCTATATAATTCTTGTTTGAAATTATTTCCTGGAAAGCTAAAATCTCTTTAGTCCAGGCCTTCCACTATGATGAAAGTATATCTTTATAAAGCAATAGAGGTGGCTGATGATAAATCAACCTTCAAACTGAATGGGCAATGATTAAAACATTATTAAGGTAGTGATTTCGATCGTCAAAGGACCTCAATCATGTTTATCGGTGCAATTTGAATAAAAAAAAAGCGAAGTTGAAGACTATAAAATCAAGCGCTTCTTGGGAGATAACTCAAGCATTCTAACTTACTTTATTTTATTTTTATTTATTCCATTAAATTATTAACAAATTATTTTTTTTATTTTACAGGTACCATTAAAGCCCTTCCTCTACTTAAAAACAAAAAAAATCAAAAAGAGAGAAAGAGAAGGGGTAGGCCTCGGCTCCCACTAGGGGAGGCCACAACCTCCTGAACTTACCATGACACAGGTTGTGGCCCCAAAAAAAAAGTGGAAGGGGTAGGTTGCGGCTTCCCCAAAGGGATGCTGTAGCCCAATGGAGAAGCCAACTCAGGCTATGATGCTTTAAAGGGGTAGACCACTGCCTCTTTAAAAAAAAAAGGAAATGGTTAGG